ACACACACACAAACACACACACACGCACACACACACTCACACACACACGCACACGCACACGCACACGCACACACACACATACACACGCACGCACGCACCAAGGCTCCCAAAGCGGCGACACACTCCACCGATGATGACCTGTCGGGCCGGAAATGACTGAAGGCAGGAAAACCCCTTTAGACGGATACTCTGTTTACGTGTGTGTGTGTGTGTGTGTGTGTGTGTGTGTGTGTGTGTGTGTGTGTGTGTATGTGTGTGTATGTGTGTGTGTGTATGTGTGTGTGTATGTATGTATGTGTGTGTGTGTGTGTGTGTGTGTGTGTGTGTGTGTGTGTGTGTGTGTGTGTGTGTGTGTGTATGTGTGTGTATGTGTGTGTATGTGTGTGTGTGTATGTGTGTGTGTGTGTGTGTGTGTGTGTGTGTGTGTGTGTGTGTGTGTGTGTGTGTGTGTGTGTGCGTGTGTGTGTGTGTGTGTGTGTGTGTGTGTGTGTGTGTGTGTGTGTGTGTGTGTGTGTGTGTGTGTGTGTGCGTGTGTGTGTGTGTGTGCGCGTGCGAGTGTGCGTGACACAGATGTCGATCCGAAACCGTCGACCACACAGTCTTGCTTTTCCTTTTTTAATCTTTTGTAAAACAGTAAGTGATTTTCGCTTTTTGGCTTGCAACACCCACCCACCAAGGTCCCGTCTTGCAATTGTCAAAGTGAAAGACAAATGTTCTCGCAGTAACAAAAGACGGCGAGACGGCGTGCATAGATAATGACTCACATATGCCAAAAACGTTTAAGTGAAACGTTCATCAATATCCATAATGGCGCCAACGACCGTTGCATTAGCTTTAACACGAACGTTGCAACACAGAGCAATAATAAAACATATGACAAAAAAAAGAAAAAAAAATGTATGCAAGCTACTCAATCGTTTGACTACAATTTTCAAAACTTAAAGTAAAAACCTCTAACACAAAAAAAAACTGCTTTAAGACAAAAAAAAAAAAAAAAAAAAAAAAAAAAAAAAAAAAAAAAAAAAACACTAAAGGGGAAAAAAAGAAACACCAACAATCAGGAAATAAGAAAAAAAAATATGAGAGAAGAAAAGCAAGTACACAAGCCAGGAAATAATAATAAGAAAAAGATAAATGACTAAATAAACAAATAAACGAGGGAAGAGGAGAGAGTGCTAGCGTATCTCCCAGAGGATGGACTTAACACTCAGTAACCCCAGGGATCGATCGTTTCAAGGAGACAGGAAATTCAAGGGAAAAACAGCGCGTGGAGATGAAAGGGGGCACGGAGAAGTGGGGAAAAAACAGAGGAAGAAATGAGAGGAGATGGATAAAAGTAGGTAGATATAAAAATAATCACCCACCGGGGATCAATGATAGGCCTATGAATGAAAAAAAGGGGGGGGGGAGCTTGGTGTTAATTAAATTCTATCTCTTTCATTCGCATTTTTTTATATTTCATCGTCACCCTGATCAAAATCAACAAATAATCTTCCATTAATTATTTTCCATAATGGAAGAACTTCGAGAAGATTAAATACACCCGAGAGTCAAGAGCAACGGCCAGACTATAAAAAAAAAACTTTAAAAGTAGCTAATCACAAACAAATATTAACCTAAACACAAGCTCACATTTCCTGCACATAAAATAGTGATTGCAATTTTTCCGATTTAACTGACAAGCTAATCTCTCTTTCACCGACACATCAAAGAAACAAATAAATCTCCATGTCTCCTCCGGTTTCCCACCACGCGAATAAACGTCACAAATGGAACAGCAAAACATAAGGGCGCGAGACTTATTTACCTCGAAAAGAAAACGACGCGTCGGTTCCAAGGAAGTTAAAATTAGAGGGGTGTCTCGCGTGGCTATCAATTTATCGCAATTTCGACGAGGAGCTAAAAATATCGTTTCCCCAGACCGTATGACAAAGCCGTAATAATAAAAGAAAAGAAAATTTAGCTTAAAAATGTGTTCTCGAATTTGACTTTTCGATTACTTTTGTAAGTGTGCGTTTTTTTAGGCATGATAATTGATCAGATTTTTTAAAAATAACTAAACTCATACGCGGGGTATATGCTCCACCTTACTCGGAAATTCTTAAAAAAAAAACAAAAAAACTAATAATACATGAAATATGCATTCCATTAAGAAACAGTAAACGAAACAGAAGCATCGACGCCATAAAAAACGCGTACGGGAAAAAAAAGAAAAAAGAAAATAAGAAAAAAAAAGAAAGTCAGAAAGTAAGAAAGAGAGACAAGAAACCGAAGGCTTAAACACAAAAATGGTAACGCGACCACAGAACGACATGATGGTCCACTCCCCGCGGGCCCGAATCTTGCGTTGTGGATTAGAGATTCTCGTGGCTGTGTTTAATTAAATGGAAGCTTTTGGCGGAGGAGAATCATGAGTAAATGAGTGCAGGAAGGCAGGGCGACTCGAGTGATGTGTCTGAGTGAAATGTCTGAGCGTAAATGGAGGGAAGGGATGGGGTAA